TCGGCCCCAGTCTGATCTTTTCCGCATTTGCCCCTTGGTGTAAACAGATAATACCGTTTTTCAACCTTATTGGCAGTTTACCTGTATGAACTAGGAAAGGGTTTTCTGCTCCTAAGCTTACTACAACATGTGACAGTTTTGAGAGATTTTTCAATTCTGGTAATTTATGCTTTTGGTGGAAGAGGGAGAGTGAGCCTTCTGAACTGGGACCAAAAGTGAGAGTGTTGAAAGGCAAAGGAATGACTAGTAACATTTAGGAAAACCATGCCTTGTAATGATTTTGTGGTGAAACGTAATGTTTATTGGATAGCTCTCCGCTTAATTGTCGGCCGGGTAGAGCAGAGTCAACCACACGTTACTGCTTACAGAGTCTGATGGACTGCTACCACACAATCACATGCACACACCACTCTCAGGTCTGACCCCTGATCTTTTTATTATACCAGAATAAGCCCACCTTATTTGTGAAAAGTCCACAAAAAATGGAGTCTTCATTCTTAGTAAGAAAGTAATTTATTCATATAAATTCTGTAATTCTGTTCTGTTATATAATAGCTGTTAAAGACTCTTCCTCTGGTTTTTATTCCAGGTGCTGATGATGGGGGAGCCCTTCTTTGATTGTCAAATAGGCTTTGTGGGGTGCCGGGCACTCTGCCTGAAAGGCATCATGGGAATACGAGATTTTGAAGAAAACATGAACCGACTTGAAGAGGTAACAACTGCTGAAGAACCTCAATGAAAAATGTAAAAAGCTTAAAACTTGAATGAGAAAGATAAAGAAAAAGTAAACACCAAGACGAGAGATCACTTTCACCTGAACCCTGTCTCTGCAGCCTCCATTGCTCCCGAGAGCCTTCACACAGAGATGTGTTATGGTTTGTTTTGGGAAAAGAAAGACATATCTTTGCCTTTTTGACACATATGACTGTGTCAGCATCAGTCTCGCTATCAGCTCATAGACAACACTTTTGGGCTCAATCCAAATAAATGCATTTTCATCAACTATCGTATTTTCCAGACTATATGTCGCACCTGAGTATAAGTCGCTCTTATCAAAAAACGTGTCGTTAAGATAAAAATAAAGATTTATAAGTCTAAGCTTCGGTGTTTAAGTCGCATCTATCCACTGAAGTCTTCATCCTCTGTGCCGCTGTTAAACACTTCCGCCAACTCCGGTGAAAGTGTTTAACAGTGACACAGAGGTGTGGATGAAGCAGCATGTCCTGCTCCGGGCTGTCCTCAGACTCTCCATCAGAATCAGCTCCGATTAGACCTTTCTGAATCCAGACAGGATGGTGTCGGTCGTCACTGAAGCCCATGCTGTGTCCATCCATCCCACAACATCCTGGAAAGTTACGTGACGCATCCTCCCAGTTCTTATTATACATCCATGATCCTCCCGGTTGCCGTGACTTTTTTCTTCTTCGTGGTGCAGCAGTTTTCAGTTGTCACGATTGTATACAGTGCTATCTATTGGCCGGAGTTTGAACGCAGTTAGACACAATTCAATATATAAGTCGCTTCGGAGTATAAGGCGCAGGACCAGCCAGATAGGTAAAAAAAACGTGATTTATAGTCCGTAAAATACGGTATGTATTAATTGTGTAATTGATTATCTTTCTAAGCTAGATCTATGACGTATTTGCCAAGAGTCCTCTTTAACATTTGTGCCATTCCCAACATGAGTTGCATGCAATATATTTTCATCATCTATAAACGTTTTTAATCCTTTCACATTCAATAGCCTACATTTAATACAGCACTTGGCTACATAAAATGTGCCCCCCAACAAGCACCGGTTAGGAATGATAACTGGTAGCATATCTCTGATTCCATAGCAAAGACTGGTCTATTGTGTGTCCCAGGAATTACTTTCCATTGTCTACGTTCCATGGTTTTATTGAAGGGACAGTATTTTTGTGACATCTGATAAAGTATTGTTCACATTCTCATTTTCTTTTGTCACTGTAGGATGCAGTGTTCTTCAGCTGTGGGGACAGCCTAAGCAGTAAAGGAATGACCTACCTCACCAATTCCCTGTTTGACTACCGCAGTCCCGAGAACAACTCTGTCAGGGCTGAGTTCATCCTGGAGACTGCTAATCACAAGGTCAACATATGGGACTACACTACTCTTTCAAAGAATATTATCAGAATGTTTGTTTAGGATTTTTTATGTAAACATTTTTTTTTTATCTGTTTAAATAATGTAGATGTTGTTATGGATGGAGGAAAGATGGCAGAGACTATACCTTATGGCAGAATTAAAGCAGTCAGTTCCAAACCAGACAACAGCCAACTCAAAACACACCTCACACCTGGCCCTAAGGGCTAACACACTTATTTAACCAACAGCATTACAAGAGAATGCATTAAACATAATGAAATCAATGATGCTGTTTACATGAACAGCACATGCTGTTGACACAGTCCTCACTAAAACAAATATGTTTCTCTATTTTCAGAAATATAAAGTCTTCATTGCCAAAAAAGAGAACAAAAGATGATTCTGTACAGATATTACTGTGGCTTAAGTGTCTTTCTCAAACATGCAAGAAAGGAATACAAATGTGGTTAATACAATACTTTATCCAGGTCACACAACAATAATCCAAAAATATTACATTCAGTATTTTTTCAGCTATTATATGGAAAAGCTCAAAGTACAGCTTGTATCATTTTAAATCGGTACTAATTAAATACAATAGTGTGTACTTTTTAAATGCAATTTCTTATTTTTCTCTGAAATAAATCATTTCAATGTGTATAACTGCTGAATATCTGTCAGTCTCCGGGCTGCTGGCTGCAGTAGAGGAATGTTCCTGCCATCTGAGCAGTAGTGTTGAAGCCATTATTAAGATGAGATAACTCTCAGCTCCAGTGTTGACTCTGCTCAGAAATGGTCATGACCCTCAATGAAGCCCATCCATCTGGGCGGTGGTGGCGAAGTCCATAGGTACTTGGCTTGGGAACCGGAAGGTCACCGGTTCAAGTCCCCCCAAGACCAAGTGCTACCGAGGTGTCCCTGAGCAAGGCACCGTTCCCTACACTGCACCCCGGGTGCCGTACATAATGGCAGCCCACTGCTCCTAACACTAGGATGGGTCAAATGCAGAATGTACATTTCCCCTCTGTGGGCCGATTAAGGGTACATAAAAAAGGTATATCTACTTGAAGATGAAAGAGTTAAAGGTTTTGTTGTTAATTCATTAGCGGTTTTGAAACCAGCCACTGGCTTTGATCCAAAAGCATGCCAGAGCCATTAGAGGTCCCCTAATAAATATTACTCATTAACCTGCCTTGCTGATAAGGTTCTATTGAAATGTCTGTTTAGAGAAGTTGAGTGTGTCCTGATTGGGGGTGTTGAATATGTGGGCGAGGGGGGCTTCTCTCATTCATTCTTTCTGTTTCTTGCTTGTTCACTTATTCTCTCTTTCAACCAGTGGTTTGTGCAATATAACTTTTGCTTTTAAATATTGTCTAACACAGGGTCAATAGCTCCAACTTGCACACAAATAAGTGATGAGTGGTAACAGTTTATCCTGGTATATTAAAAAAGATACAAGTTTTTGCCAAGATCTAGATTTGAGTTGTTAACAATAGTGATAATTGTCAATGAATAAAAGTGACAATTACAAAATAGTTGAATTATATACATATTGCATAACACTCATACTTCATACTTAACATACTGCACAAATGTACATTAAAACAGGTTTAATCAGAATTGTTGGATTTGTCATGAAGTCCTTTCTTTTAATAGATACGTTTTTCTTTCCATTGATAGTTTATGGCGTATAAGCAAGTAAGAACAGAACTGATGTGTACCAAATGACTACCCCATGCACCATATATACTTACTAATGCGTACATTTAGTGAAGTGTCTTCTCTTTATCATCATTTCTGAACAAAATAGTTGAAAAAGGTGGTTAGTTATAATTTCACCCCAGATTCAAGACATACAATACCTCCTGCCATAATCAAGTCTTTTACAAAAGTTCCAAATATCAGTGATATTGTTGACCTGTAAAAAAAATTCCAACTAAAAAGATGAACCCCTTAATTACCCTTTGTTTTATCTCTAATTTGCCCCCTTTGCCGTATCCACCATGACCCCAGGCACTGGCACTCTTAAATGCTGTGAGCGTGTTTGCTCCCTTTCTGCCATGTTTACCTGACTCTGCTCTTGTTTGACAGGAGACCTATACGGAGATAGCAGGCATTCAACGCTTTGGTGCATTCTACATGGATTACCTCTACACAATGGAGAACAGCAGCAGCAAAGGTATTGTGTAGTTCATTCCTTCTCACAGAGCTTGTTTGCTTAACTTGCCGGCCTTTCTTCCTTTTCTTTATACCTGTCCTGTTCTCCTTTTCTGCTTTCTTTGCTTCTCCCTTCTCCTCATCCTCATCAATCTTTTACTTGCTGTCTTTTTGCTTGTTCTGTTCTGTTGTCTCGTCTTGTGTTGTCTTCTGTTCTCCTGTTCGGTTCTGGTCTGTTCAGTTCTCTTGTCCTGTCCTCTCTTGTCTTGTCTTCTCTTGTCTTGTCCTCTCTTCTCTTGTCTTCTCTTGTCCTCTCCCCTCTTCTCTTCTCTTTTCTGCTCTTCTCTTCTCTATGTCAAGGAGCCCCCTGGTGACTTGAATAAAGAGCTGTTCTTGTTTGAGTCCCCTCCACCTGGTCCTTGACCCTTCCTGTCCTCACTCTCACCCCAAACTTACCTGGAGGGCGGCTGTCAGAGGTGTTTAGTCTGCACTGACATGTATTTGAGTTTCTCTCTCCCCGCTGCTTGTTGAAACACTGTTTTTCTTTACCTGTAAGCTCTTGACAAAGTGAATGGGCTCCTCTCAGCTAATTAGGTGTCACTCTTCCTCGCAGAAGCCTTAAGATAGGCAGGATTTCTCATTCCTCAGCTGCACCACTCAAGAATGTTTATACAGGTCTGAAAGATCTGAATTTCCCATTAAGTGATAAAGTATTTCCCCTTTAATTTAACACACACACACACACACACACACACACACACACACACACACACACACACACACATCTAATACAATCTCTATGAAACTCCTTACTGTGGGTAATAGCAAAATGGTAACAGTAGAGCCTTTTGGCCCATGTCTCCCTTAATTCTAACACAACATGGTGTTAGGGCTTCATGCTTCATGGAGTGGAAACGACCAGTTAGAGTGATAATTAACTTTGGCATCATTTTGATGATATAGTGTACAGTTGTCTGTAGATCTGGTTAAACCAATTGAACAACTCACACATATTCATTGATGTGTTAAGAGTTGAGTGTCATCTATGCTGTCTCAACTACCTACACTTGTTCCCTTTTTGTATTCCTCTTTCTGACTAGGCTATTGTTTGCTCTTGCTGTCAGCTACAGATAGTAATCTAAATTAAAAAAAAACATTGATACTGTCATCCTGAGCTGTCAAAGTCATTTCTGACAGCAGGATAAGTGTCAGTGTAATTCCTGCGGGACGGCTGTGGTTACCCTTGCCAGTTGGAATGCTTCTCTTCTGTCAGTGTTTCTGTTCTTCTCGGACGCGGACCAGATCCAGTGTCAACCAAACAAATTAGTTTCCATTGCCATGGGACCAACATAAACTCTGAGTCAACTGAAACACTAACCGACCTAGGTCACATTCACCATTGACTTCACATTAGAGTAACGCTGCAGATTAAAAACTTTTTCTTAAATCTTGGGAAATGGAGACACTTTTAAATCATCTAAATCCCAGCTAATTTAAGCCTCCTCATCATTCCACTGACCGTTCTAACTGCAGCCATATGGTTGATATTAGGCCTAATCCATTGCAGCCAAATCTCACTGAAGAAGGGAAGGGGAAGTGGCATTGCACATGCCCTTTATAAATCCCCAGAATTCAATGGAAGTTTCACCCCATCCCACGACATATGCAGCTAAAATAGTTGAACTCATAGAGTTGTAAAAATGTTTGGTGCAGTGGTAGAATGTAATGAAAATAAAGAAACTTGTGACCCTTTGTCCTCTTTCTTCCTCACTGCCATTCATCCACCCCCTTCATTGTTTTTTAATTTCTCCCTTTTTATTGCCGGGGAGCTGAGTCTTTCAAGTGGCCCTCTGGAACAGGGGCCTGTGATGAATGAAGGGACAGCTGTGTGAGAGATTTGGACATTTGGAATATTCATCATTCAAGTGGGTCACGGCTGTGAGAGCTGTTCCCTGCTGCTGTGTTACACCAGTGCCAAACATTTTTTGGGATTCTATACTTAAACACATGTACATGAAATAAAAAAGGTGACATATCCATTTGACTTGTTACATTTTTGCACTGACTAACAAAAGAATCCTCAAATTGTAAGAGCACTACTGTACCATTTAGAATTTCGCTATTGTATGCATGTTTGTTTCTGTTTGTAGAGCCTCAGGACTTCTCTGTGGTGAGTTTGGAGGAGGTAGTACCTGCCGTTCAAGAGACATCAATCAAGAGGCTTGTGGTGGGAGCTTTGGAAGTCAGACTGCACAGCAGTGCCGTCCACCGCATCCTCAAGATGGTCACCTGTGCCATGGAGCACGAGTATGAACCCTACTACAAGCCACAGCCAGGTCAGTTATCTCCTACAGTTGCTCCATCTGTTTCATTCAGCGTTCTTTAACAGCTACAAAAACAGCCAGCTAACAAATGATAGCTTGCCATACTCCCTACACTCAACTAACACTTGATTCAATACTGTCTCTTATCATTTCTCCTTTTGTCTTCTCCTCCTTTCTACTCTGCACATGTTCAGAAAGCGCACAGTTTTCACTTTACAGTATCCTCATCACATTGTTATTTCCTTACACAACCCGTCTTTCAACACACAGCTGTACATGAAAGTAGTGACCTTTTGCACCACATGAGGGAGGATTAGCCAAACACCTTGTTAGTGGTAGTCCCTATGCAGCTATTGATGAGCTCATCCTTGGGATGTTGTGAAAGAACATGGAATGTGTGTCTGTGTGTAATATCTGTAGCAATAACTCTCATTTTTGCGAAACAATAACATCCGTAGGTTTCAGCTGTTTCAGCATCTGCGATAAATAATAGATGATGGGGTAATTACTGCAGAGCTTTTGACTAAAGCTGGGTAGGTCAGTGTGTTCCTTCCTGTTTCTATATGTGTGTGTGCTCAATCTGGCATTTTATGGTCTGGAGAAGGCTCAGTACAGTCATTGAGAAATTAAGAGTAGATAAAAGAGGCAAAATGATTCACCAAGGTAGCTATTACAGATCGAGTGAGAAAATAATACATGCCTTGTGTTTTTTCCTCTCCTGCCCTCCCCTCTTCTCTCCTCTCCTCTCCCCTCCCCTTCCTTCCTCTCTGGGGGTCAAGACTTGACTATATTTCTACTCATCTTGTCAAATTTGTTTTACTCCTCCTGATACACTTCTTGCTAATAACTAATGAAAAATCACTTCCCTCCCAAGAACTAGATGTGTGTACAGTATCACATTTTTCCTAAGATTAATGGAAGGAACACAGTCAAATGCTTTTTAAAGCTGTATCTGTTGAGCTGGACAAGAAAATCCAGGGCGTGACAGTAATAGTTTTTGTGTGCCATTGTGTGTTGGCCAGCACACTTTTGTATATCCGTTTCTGTCTGCTTTGAATACAAAGTGTTTTCGGGTGTGTAATCATGCCTCTGTGTACCATGTCATCTGCATGTCTTTTATAATTTGAGTGCTGACTGGGGATATTGACTTGAGGGCTGGCATATGATTGGATTGGACATGGCACTGCCAGATGAACCTGAAGCGGGTTGTGGCGGAAGGCCAAAGAGCAAAGCAGCAGTGGGATCAGGTTCTGAGCCCACCTTGGAGCTGGGAATGAAGCCCAACAGAACCTTTACTGAACTGAAACAAGCCCATGTCCTGGGAGCAGAGCCAAGGCGGCTCGGTAACAAAGTGCTCAGGTTTTGGTCCACCTCAGGCCCTGCACAAGGTTTAGCGGTTCAGTGCTCTGGTCCCTCCTTACCTTGGTGGGCGCTGAACTTACTCGCCTCTGTTCCAAGTTGACTTGCTTCACTTCATTTTCGGACTTTCCGGATGTTTCTGCAGTGGTTAATTATTGATACTGGGAAACATCCACTGTAATAAATATCCCTTGAAAGTTCTTTTTAGAGCTTGTTTATTTTATTTAGCATATGAGGTGGTGGTTTTGTTGAAAAATACTTTTGTATTGTTTAAATGATGCAGGCCGAATAGAGAGGCACCCACTAAAACAAATTGGTGTGCTTTACAGCTGACCTGTCAATAAATCAGTCCTCCTCAAATCTAAATACTTTTCCACTCCCTCACTTTATTCAAATAATGCACCACGGGTGATATACTTGTGGTTAGATTCATTTCAACAAAGATTTATTTTTTAAATATGATGTTTAATTGAACACTGCAGCCTCTTCAAGCAACTCTGCAAAATGTTCTAATATTTGTTACAAAGCTAACATTTGTTTCTGTTGTGTCTCTTTAGAAATGGTTGAAGAGGGCCATGGTGCAGCTACTCCAGAAGAGATATCAAGTTTAGAGGAATTCATCCCAACCAGACTCACATGTCTCACTCTCCTCTCAGTCTCCGTGACTGTCTCCATGGCAGAGTTCAACCTCCTTCACACACTCATGCCTGTGATCATGGGATGCAAGGTAGTGCACACAGACTTCATTCTTGCAAATAATATATTGAGAACCTCAAGAAGGGTTGATGCACTGCATAAAATAATTGTGTGAAAATCATACATACAAACTGAAATGGAGAGAGAATGATATGACCTCAAGATTACACATATGCCAACATAATTATAAAGAACAAATCATTTTAGGTACTAACTGAACCTTCAAACAGGTAACTGTCTTGCTAAAAAGGTTTAAATGACTTATAATGTACATATCTGAATATGTTATTTATCTAAAAAAAGACAACATTGTTTTGCAGTCTTGTGGTGAGGTGGGAAAAGTGTGTATTGTATTGTATTGTTATTCCTGACTCCACATTACTAAAGGTCTGCAATACTATAGGTTGGTCTCCAGATGCACAAGGAGACTGATGAGGACATTTTGACTTAAGACTTAACTTAGAACAGTTTCCTGCCTTTAATCCATTTCCCCCTTTTATATCTCCCAGGTTGCACCGGTGCTAGTTAACGTGCCAGTGTTTCAGCCGGTGCGCCCTCTACCTGCTGTACAGTTCCAGGTGGAAAGGGTGAATGTTGAACACACAGTGCCCATGTATGCTCCAGAGCTGGTCAGCACAGTGAGCCGCCTCAGCCAGCCTTCTGACAACCTGCTGCATCACTGCTATGCACACCTCTACCTCAAGGTGAGAGCCACACAATTCAACTCTGGCTGCACTGTCAGTACATTTAAAAAAATGTGACATATTTCCAAGAACATAATTGAGTAGAACTCTTTTGACACATTCACATTCAAAGATTCAAAGGTTTATTATCATATACACAACTACTGTGTAGTTAAGTAATGAATGAAACACTTTGGTTGGTAAGGTTCCTTAACAATGCAATTACAAGCCATACAAAATAAATACAAATAAAAGATAGATCTAGATCTGAGTTAGACCTTGCACATCTTTGTTTAATTTAGCATTTGCTCATTTGGTTCTCTTATTATAGTTATGTGCTGTTTAAGTCCGTTAAGAAACTATACCCTTGTAGGATTAATAAAGGATACCTTATATTATCTTATCCTTTCTCATAGTATGTATTTGATCATGTACATTGCAACTGTTTAATTTAATGATGTCAATTTTACCGCGGTCTCGTTATCTAAAATATTGACACAAAATACTTACTTACCGTTGTTTTTTATGTACCTTAGCCAGAAGTTGTCAGGTCAAACACACGGCCACAGTCGTAACTCCGCTATGAAATAACCCTAATGACCTTGATGACCCCTTTTTACTGGGTTGTAAAAATCCCAGCACTGAGCTTTCTGATGAGGACCAGTCCAACCCTGGTCTTCTTCATGATTTTTACCCACCAAGCCTGTGTTGTGCAGATTGTCCATACTCTTTGTCACCCATGCTTCATGATTTTGACAATTCAGCAGTTATATAGTGTGTAAATGCCTATTACTTACTATACTACTCATGTTGTTAGACCCTTTTATTGACAATGAATTTGAAATTCTTTTTTTAGTATGGTATGAATAATGTGTTATACCTCTATACTATAAAATAGTGTATGTATTCATAGCAACGCCTTCAGAAATGACTATTGATTTGTATCTAAATGTGTTCTATTGTATACATAGCTGTCACATAAATGACTTACATACACACTCTTTGCGTGGATATTCATTGAGAATAAAGTTAAGAAAAAGTCATAACTGATGGCTTTGTATCTACACTTGTGAATTGGTCTTGCTTTTAGAATCATCCTATAATTAAACTACAAATAAACTTGTTTTCACCTCTGCATTTATGGTTTACTTGAAGAGCCAGATGTCCCATGGAGTACATGTAGAACTATGGAGGCTTAAACAAATTCAGCTAAACCACATTTTAGGAAGCCTGGATAACATATCTGAGAAACCTGGGGTGGCCCAGTGTGGCCTGGTCTGGCCTGGTTGTTTGCTGGACATCATGCTGGTAGACCTTATCACAGGGTCACTGCAGGGTTAACAGTCAACTGGTCTGTGGCCAAATATCCTTCTGAACAAGCCAATCAGCATCTCTATCTGCCAATGCACTAATTCCTCCTCTGGATTTAGGCAGTGGGAGCATGACGAGGTCATTTTGGCTGCAATTCAGCCAGTTCAGGAAGTGATTTGAAACGGGTGTAAACTAAAGCTTATCTTAATCTGTGTTTTGTTGACACTGACTGACAAAGCTAAGGGGACTGTCTTGAGGATAGCAGGTAGCCATTGTTTCACTTTGCCATTTACATAGACAAGAACTCAAAGTCAGCCTTGCTCAACAAGGAGGCCAAAGAAGTAAATAGACCAATCATAATTGAAAACTAGGAATATTTGTATAATAGATTGTTTGGGGCAGCTTAAAGGAAAACACAATTTGAAATATTTTCTCAAATGGGAACTGCAATGAATCCGTCTGTGGCTTTATGAGCCCAAGCTTGCATTTCACTGGAGGATTTATATATACATCTTAGCTTGGCAATTACACAATTATATTTGGTATACTCATCACATCCAACGTTTTGTATGTCCACTATGGGCCATCTGCACAATTGGTTTGATAGACCTTCACTTGCATGAATTGAATCTGTCATAAATGAATATGTATACATATACAAGTTGAAGTAAAAACACACAGGAAAGAGGCACGACGTCATCCTTCAGCCCTCTGAAGAATCAAAATAAACTTTGGAAATGTTGTTGATGGAAACATTGTCTGAACAGTCCAGAAGCCATCAATGGGAATGTTGTTGTCAGATATATCCTGCATATATAGATATAACCATAAGGTGCAGCCATGTTTCATGAAGCACATTAAACTACACTCCAGATATTCCGTCTGACTTCTTCCCAACACCGTTAGCTCATCCATTCCTAGTATTTTAAATGCTAAATGTATATGCTATGCTATGCTTCAGCACAATTCGCTTCTCCCTGGTGTAAACAAGGTAGCCATGGGGTTGCTGTGTAACAGCGGCATCAATGCACAAAAGCAGCAACTCAATTGAGAAAAACAAAAAAAACTCTCTTTAAAATAGCTCAGAGAGGGCACTTCTTTCTGAAAGCTAAAAGTTAAAAGTGGTACAAATCTAATATGAGCAACTGCAACAGGCTGCATACACGATTGTTCAGAACAAGTGTGCTAGTGAACTTTACTAACTAATTAGCAAACTTTTGGGCAAAAATCTTTAAAGAAAAAAATGAATTTTCTGTACTTAAGGTACCCTAAGTATTAAGGCTGTCAGTCGCATGATCCATCCATCCATCCATCTTCTCCCGCTTATCCGTGGTCGGGTCGTGGGGGTAGCAGTTTCAGCAGAGAGCCCCAAACGTTCCTTTCCCTGGCCACATCAACCAGCTCTGACTGGGGGATCCCAAGGCGCTCCCAGGCCAGCGAAGAGATATAATCCCTCCACCTGGTCCTAGGTCTACCCCTTGGTCTCTTCCCAGCTGGACATGCCTGGAACACCTCCCTAGGGAGGCGCCCAGGTGGCATCCTAACTAGGTGCCCGAACCACCTCAACTGGCTCCTTTCGACGCAAAGGAGGAGCGGTTCAACTCCGAGTCCCTCCCGGATAACTGAACTTCTCACCTTATCCCTAAGGGAGACACCAGCCACCCTGCGGAGAAAACCCATCTCGGCCGCTTGTATCCGCGATCTCGTTCTTTCGGTCATGACCCATCCTTCATGACCATAGGTGATGGTAGGAACGAAAATGGCCCAGTAGACAGAGAGCTTTGCCTTCTGGCTCAGCTCCCTTTTCGTCACAACGGTGCGGTAAAGCGACTGCAGTACCGCTCCCGCTGCTCCGATTCTCCGGCCCATCTCACGCTCCATTGTTCCCTCACTCGAGAACAAGACCCCGAGATACTTGAACTCCTTCACTTGGGGTAAGGACTCCTTCCCTACTTGGAGTGGACAGTCCATCGGTTTCCTGCTGAGAACCATGGCCTCAGATTTGGAGGTGCTGATCCTCATCCCAGCCGCTTCACACTCGGTTGCGAACCGATTCAGTGAGTGCTGAAGGTCGCAGACCGATGAAGCCATTAGAACCACATCATCTGCAAAAAGCAGTGGTGCAATCCTTAGGCCACCAAACTGCAGACCCCCTCCCCCACGACTACGCCTCGAAATCCGAACCATGTATATTACAAACAGGATTGGTGACAAAGCGCAGCCCTGGCGGAGGCCAACCCTCACCGGAAATGGGTCCGACTTACTGCCGAGGACCCGGACACAGCTCTCGCCTTGGGAGTACAGAGATTGGATGGCCCTGAGTAGAGACCCCCTCACCCCATACTCCCGCAGCACCTCCCACAGTAACTCCCTGGGAACTCGGTCATACGCCTTCTCCAAGTCTACAAAACACATGTAGACCGGATAAGCATACTCCCAGGCCCCATCCAGGATCCTTGCGAGAGTAAAAAGCTGATCCGTCGTTCCACGACCAGGACAAAATCCGCATTGTTCCTCCTCAATCTGAGGTTCGACAATCGGCCTGACCCTTCTTTCGAGTACCTTAGAGTAAACTTTCCCGGGGAGGCTGAGTAGTGTGATGCCTCTGTAATTGGTACACACCCTCTGATCCCCCTTTTTTAAAAGGGGAACCACCACCCCGGTCTGCCACTCCTTCGGTACTGTTTCCGACTTCCACGCAACGTTGATGAGACGTGTCAACCATGACAGTCCCTCAACACCCAGAGCCTTCAGCATTTCTGGGCGGATCTCATCCACCCCCGGGGCTTTGCCACTGTGGAGTTATTTGACGACCTCAGTGACCTCCCCCCGGGAGATTGGTGTTGATCCCCCGTCATACTCCAGCTCTGCCTCTAACATAGAGGGCGGAGTTGTCGGGTTCAGGAGTTCCTCAAAGTGTTCCTTCCAACGCCCTAACACTCCATCAGTTGAGGTCAACAACGTCCCATCCTTACTGTACACAGCTTGGATGGTTCCCTGCTTCCCCCTCCTGAGGTGTCGGACAGTTTTCCAGAACAACTTTGGTGCCGCCCGAATTTCAGTCGCATGATGTCCATAGTTAATCGCGATTAATCGCAAATTAATCGCACATTTTGTACCTGTTCTAAATGTACCTTAGAGGAATATTTTTCAAGTTTTGAATACTCTTATCAACATATGAGTGGACAAATATGCTTTTTGCAAATGTTAGTTTATTATCATTGGAACAATGACAAATATTCTCCTGAATATTCTCCATACAACAACCTCTGAATATTACAATTATTCTCCTGAATATTTTCAACACAACAACCTGGAACCTCTCTCTCTCTCTCTCTTACACTCTCTACCAACCCTGTGTACTTCTCTGCACTGAGCCAGTTGCTCAAACAGACAAGCCTGTTTACAGTTGTCGGCGAAATGCCGCTCCTCTGTCTTCATAACAGTCAAAGCATGAGACTGAAGTTCCCACTGTGCGTCAAAATAATGCGCTGTGCAGTCGACACGTTGGATGCAATCCGAATGATCAAACGCAGCCCCTCGTCCTCCACAATGTTAAGCTGTAGTCACCCATTTAGCTATCGCTGTTGTTGTCCAGGCGTCTCCCCGGCAAACTTTCAAGCGTGGTCTGCCGCAAGCGAGCGGCAGGAGCGGGGCTGTCAGCATCAGCTGTGTGCTTGGCTTGCTGTTTAAAACACCTTTTTTTGTATCCATATATCTCGCTAAAATCTCCCACCATCCAACTAACAACAATAACAACGTCAAGCCTTTGGACTCTGAAACTACGGGGCGGGCCGAGGACAAATACACATGCGTTAATCGCACCTTAAAATAATTAGTGGTGTTACATTTTTTTTAACTGCTCTAACGCGTTAACTTGACAGCCCTTCTAAATATATATCGATTTCTTTGGAGAGTTAAACAAAAAGGTATTTTAAAAGATTTTGCCTTTTTTTTCCTGCCAATAGCCACGGCCTGTAAGAGCGCTACACAATGTCCGCTGGGAACAGATAGGGTTAAGCATTTCAGTGGCGATTGAGATGAGAGAACAATAAACGCCTGCTGTGTGCTTCTGTGTTTTCTTTCCAGACACTGTGTTCACCATAAGAGTTGCCATGTTTCTTTCTGGGGATCCAGGGAATGGTTTGATCTTATATGTTGCTGCATATGCATTTTCTTGTCTGCATATTTCTTCCCCTGTCTTCCCCTTTCTACCTCTCAACATCTCTCACACATTTGCTTTCTTTCTGTTTCTCTTTCCAGGTGCTTGGGTTCCAGGCAGGTTTGACATGCCAGGACAGTACGGGGGGTTTCCTGCCTCTCATCCCCATCATCCCTTCCTTCAGCACTGCGCTCTATGGGAAGCTGATCCAGATGCCTGCATACTGGTGAGCTACCTCAAATTGTTCTTAAGCCTTAACATTTAATATTGCCTATTTAAAATTATTGGGATTGTCTCAAAGAGATCACACCCAATTCTTCCCAATACTAATTCAACTGGTAATTTGTCACATGTTTTGCTCTTAATGCATTGCTTTTAATCCACCCAAATGATTCTGTGTCTCAAAATGTCTCTCTGAATTTTGTTCTGGCCAATCTTTGCCAAGTCCACTCTGCATGTTGCTGATTATTTAAACAGTATTGTTATTGAAATCCATATGTGCAGCACAGTTCAATAGGGTGCTGACACAACATATCGTTTTAGCCTTACAGAGAAAAAATGTCTGGGTGTTTAGTATAAACATCCCGACATTTTTGAGCCGCAAAAGCATCCAAAAATTACCTCAAAATATGATTTCTCTGTTTATTATAAAGATAAAAAAACTGAAGAAGACTGGTATGCTGAAAATTGCCACAGGCTGAGTCCTGGAGTACCTATTTTTATTAGATCCATGTGTTGTTTTAAGATTTAACATATACAATTGGTCAACATGGATGATGGCTAAAGTGTCAAGTCAACTACAATAAATGGTTAATAAAGTTAACAATCACTCATCAGTGTAATCCAGTGAAGATGCATACCAAAGTGGGGAGGCAGACGTTCATGGAAAGTTTCATCTGGTTTCAGAAAGGTTTGGGTGTGAACCTCCTCTGTGTATGCGTGCTTGGTATTTGTATGCATGCTTTTCTTTTCTTTATACAGTGTGTGTATATGAAGAGTTATCCCCATGTATTGTACTTTATAGAGAGGATTGCAGCCTTTTGCGGGCAGTGCCTCAGAGGGTATTTAAAGTAATGGATGAGCCTATTCTGCCGCGATCTGTGGGGAAAACAGAAAAATGCAGTCATCGGGTAACAACTGCAACAATTTGTCAGATGGTTTGAAACACAAGGAGAGGAAAATAAGACAACACAGTCTAAAGAGAGGAACAAACATATTGCTATATCCCTGTCCTTTTACCAGACAGATGAGGACTCATTAGGGATGTCCCCCACAGAGGCTAGGAGTTGAAATGAGCACAATAAGGGAAATGTATACTACCAGTCAAAAGTTTGGACACACCTTCAAATTCGAAGTTTTTTTATTTTGTTCTACTTTGTAGATTAATACTGAAGACATCAAAACTATGAAAGAACACATATGGAATTATCTAGTAAACAAAAAAGTGTTAAACAATCCAGAATATGATTTATATTTTAGATTCTTCAAAGTAGCCCCGTTTTGCCTTGATGACAGCTTTGCACACTCTTGGCTTCTCTCAGTCAGCTTCATGAGGTCGTCACCTGGAATGGTTTTCAATTAACACGTGTGCCTTGTCAAGAGTCAATTTGTGGAATGACTTGCCTTCTGAATGTGTTTGACACCATTAGTTGTGTTGTGCAGAGGTAGGGTTAGTGCACAAGATATCTCTCTGCCCTGTCTCTGTGTGAGGGGGCGGGGCAATTTACACACACACGGCTGCTACATGCATGCAACACACACACGGCAGAGATGGCGGAGAGAAAGTGCTCCAAGGTGTGGTTAAACTTTACCCGTCTCGATGTGGACAATCCTCGTTACCAAACATGTTATAAGAGTTTAGCATGTAAGGGCGGTAACACGAGCAATTTGTCTAAACACCTTGCAAAAGTGCAGCACATTCAGACGGAGACATGCACCATTTTCGACTGTCTTTCTAGTAGCTCTGTAGCCCCATCCACGAGTATGTATACCTCAATCTTCCTCCAGATATCTGAGAGATCTGATCTCAGCACACTGGAACAACAGTTATACGTTGGTAGCCACGAATGAAGGAATCATTTGGTCTTTGAAATTAAGATGTGATTCACGTACAAACACACACACACACACAACACACACACACACACACACACACACACACACACACACACACACACACACACACACACACACACACACACACACACACACACACACACACACACACACACACACACACACACTGTGTCCCCTCTTTCACACCTTGCAGTCAAAGTGCCTGTTAGAGCAGGACACCTGTGCTCGAGCACTAGCTTGGGAATCGATTTCCTCCCATTAGTTTAGATTTAAACATGTCAAAGAGCTGCAGATGGTTTAGACTTTTTCTGACTTCTTCTCCAGGCAAACATGTTATTTTCTGTACAGAGGTTTGCTGGCCACTTAGGAAAGCACAAGGCCCTTATTCAATGTGAGCCTGTCTGTAGACAGAACCTGATTCCTTGCGCTTTCTGCTCCCAATAAGAGACTTCTAGCTGCTTGTTTGATCTCCAGCCCCCCTGTTTCTGCCCTGCCTGCCTCAAATAGTGGATTCAGATGTCAAACGGATGTTATTTTTCTTGCTGACAATCACTAGATGTTTCTCGTCTCCACAGAGCCTTTCAGATCAATGCCCTTCTCTGGTTTCTTTCAGCCTGGACCAGCGCTTAGAAATGCCACTGTCAACCTCTCACGGAGTCTCCTCGACACATAAAAAAACTGCTCAGTTATTCTTTGTTCTAAGCAAGCCTTTGATGAATACAGTATGTACTTTTCCAATAACAGTATGCACCAGAAATCCTTATCTTCATTTGATTTGAATATACATTATATTAGTCTATCTAGACTCTGATCTGACAGCATTGCCATCATACCTCAAAATAGGTGAAGACGTAATATCCAACATCATTCTAGACCTGTAACAGGATTATTTACACTTCATCTCATTTTACTCATCTCCAAATGTATCATTATTGTTTCCGACACTTCGACAGGTGAGAAGCACTCAATATATATTTTCCAGTTGCCTGTTTGTTTCACTGCCAGTCTCTTTCCTGTAGAAGATAATGTGACTGTGTGTATTGTGCAGGGTTGAAAGTTCTGATCCCAACATTTTAAGCCTGAAGTGACTCTTATTTGACCTTTTGTGTTTAAGCGTGAGGCAAGGAAGTCTTGCTTCATGATTTGTGTGTCGCTACAGTCAAAATCCAATTAACACAAGCTGAGAATTTTCTCCTGGGAGACTGGTTTTGAGCAGGTTGGACAGAGAAGTATAGACAGTGGTTGCAGAAATAGAGGTTAATGAGTGACAGGCCACAGTAATAAGTAGATTTGTTGGTCGTTGAGCTGACTCAAAGTTTTGCTTAGTTGTCTTGACATGAGTGAAAACATAGAAGTTTTCCAAGTTAAAAGGCTTATTTAATTCAGTTGACTTAACTGTTCTCTCAGTATGTTACAGAAATGGCATTTCAGTCTGTGGATGATAGACGTTCCGTCACAGACAGTTCCTCTCCTGAAGTTGAGAGCTGAGGCAAGAGTGACACTTTGGGTCGATGGTGAATCCAAAGATGGACTCCACCAGGTGGTAGCATTTAATCTGACTGTTTTGATGTTTGTTTTGGGTCTTCTCCTCAGCACTGATGTAACTCCAACAACACCCCTTTCCAATATGTTTTGTTCTCTGAACAGACACTATGCAGTGCTGCTTTTGATGTTTTAGGACATCTGAAAGAAAGCTGGGAGCAAGAGACCTTAAGGGGCAGAAAGAGTGAGGGAGTGGTCAGAGGAAAAGCTTTCTGTTGTCTCTTTGTCAGTCTTTAGTAGTTTTGTTATGCAGATTATTGGATAGGCTTTTTTCCATTACCAATGTAAAATGTAGCTACATGTCTATAAGTAACAGGAAAGTAGAAGTTGACAGTGCACACTTTTAGCCTCCCTCTTCCGCCCTCTCTCGCTCTAATGCTCCACCAAACATGCAGCCAGCTCATGTTTAAGATAACAGAGTAAAGGACTGCCAGGTGATCCTAGCAGATTGGAAGAGGCACTGGGTGTCTGTGATGGCCCAGTACGTCTCCTGATGAGTTGGCCCACTGCATACTGTAGCTCGTATTTCCTTCAGTCTCACCGCAAAGGCTCTGGCTTCTCACAGTGGGCAGCAAGGGGCTTTCACTGGGGAAAGTACACTGCCTTCAAATCTTATTCTTGCCAGCCTAAGCTTTTACTGGGCATTTGGTATTGTGTGTGAGACCTTCGATCCATGCAACTATGGAATGTCTTTGTTTCATCAATTTCTAAAGCAGAACCCATTTTAAAATCGTAAATGCTTCACAGCAATTACACATTTTGACCTTGCGGTCCCCCATATTGCATTTTTTGATTATGCAATATGTATCACCAATACTTTCTGTACTTTCACATTACAGTTGACTGCGGGCAATAATCATTCTACCAATCCCCTAAAATGACATTCTGAGCACCTCAGCTCAGTTGTAGTGTTTTAACCTACTGATCATATTCTTTGTGGATAAACTTAAAAGATTGGAAACTACATAACCAACTGAATTAAATGTGTCATTTGGTTATTCTAACTTTAGAATTTTTTTCACAATTGTTAATATATAACTAGAAGTGAGTGTTATCTGTTAAACAGTAAGCTTAGGTCCACTCGATCACTGTCACTAGATTTTGGCTTGGGTTGTGGAGGTCGATTCAAACAGAAGGCACTTAGGCCACGTCTACCCGGAGACGAAACGGGTTGTATCCGCTACAGTTCTCTATCGTATGGACGGTTCGTCCACACGAGGCCGTAACGGAACCACGGAAACGGAGTCCTCAAACGATAACGGCTCCCAAGGTGGGTAGATCTGCGGACGAAACGCTCTGGGGGGGGCAAACGGCTCTGTGTTTACGTCCTATACGATCATTTTATGATAACGATGACGCCATCTCCCCACCTCTGCTGCTCACCCCCGCGTCACCCGCGTCATTGATGATGTGTTTCGCCAACAACAAAAACAATGGCGGATCACAGGTTTGCTTTCGTGCTCCAGACGCAACTGACCATGCTACAGATGTTAGTGCAAAATCTACAGCTCCTCTATCACAACCATCAGCAACAAGTGGACATGGAGAACTACATGAACTACATGTTGCTAAATCCACCGCGGAGAATAAACAGAAGGGCAACCAGGC